TATCTGAGTATTATTCTTTTCTCTTAATAAAATGATTATTTCTCTTTTATCATATGACTTTTCCTTGTGACTTTTTATTGTATATTATTGATCATTTCCTTTTGTATTGCTGCGTCTTGAATAATGAAATTGTTGACTCTACAGCGCATTTTGAAAAATTCTGCTATCAGTGATCATCTTATCAATCATTTTCTAATATATATAGCCTAAATTTAACAAAATATTTTTTTTTATTTTTTGAATATAACTTAATATAAACTGTATATGGCTTCTAAAATCACATTTTATATTGTATTTTTATCTACTCTACAAGTTTGATTATGATTTTAAAGAAGGTTTTAAATGCTATTTTTTAGAAAATTAATTATTTATAAAATAACATTCAAAAAGCCAAAAATTGTATTTAAAATCATTTTTTTGTTTTAAGTGAACTTGCAAAGCATGCAAAAATATATTAAAAGATGTAATTTTGAAAGTTATATAAATTTGTATTGGACTATATTAAAAAATCAGTTTTTTTTAATAAAGTTATATTATCAATTTAGGAAATAATCAATAAGATGATTGCTGATAGCAGAATTTTTAGGGGTGCTCTTTGAAATGTTATTTGAGATAGGAAGATAATATGATAGTATATCTATATTTTAAGAAAGAAGCATTCAGTCATGCAAAAAATTGGATTAAAGAGAATTGGTCAGAAATAGATATATGAAATAATATATAATTTTAATATAATAATGCAAATAAATCAAATCACAATTATGAAAATTCGTCAATAATTTTTTATTAATACAAAAGTGGTGTGATTTATATATGAAGTCGAAATAAAAACCCAAAAGTCAAAATGTTTCGACTTTGGAAGTCAAAGTAAAAATGAAAAGTCAAAATAATGTCATATCACATGATTTTTTATATTTAGAAAAAACAAAAAAACAAAAGATATATGATCTTAGTCAATATTACTCCATGACTAAATGAATCCAATGAGCTAATATTTATTGATTTTGTATCAACCTATCACAAGATATTTGCGATTGAATTTTGAAATCTGAACTTCTTTATTTAAAGTAAAATTTATTGATTTATAATTTCAACCGATAATACAATTGTGATTATCTTAAGATTGGATGATCCAAATCACTAAATGATAGCTTATTGGATTCATCGAGTCACGAGGAATTGAATGGTAGTTGTTTCATACGAATCAGAGTGATATTGACTGAAATTATATATATTTTGTTTTTTTGTTTTTCTATATATAAAAAATCATGTGATATGATGTAATTTTGATTATTTTGACTTTTTAACCTCTAATAGTCAAAATGATTTTAACTATTTTGACCATTTCGGATATCTGAAATGATTCATTTTGACTTCATGTATAGTGTAATTCACCACGCAAAAAATAAATACAAAACTTTGAAATGTAACTTATGATACATGATAATTAGCAAAAAATTGTAACTGTGTAAAAAAATTTATATGCTAATATTAATTTTCTCCTGCTCGACTTTCCCTACCTACCTAATACTAGACTCAGGAGTAATGGTCGGAATAAGAGTTTTAAATTATTTTATGTATATATTGCAAAATACTGTGTTTTATTTATTACAAAAAAAGACGATTAGATATATAATATGTGTAAAACAACCACTATTATGATCTTATCTCAGAAATCAGGATCAATGAACACTCAAACTAATATGCAAAGCCAGAGATATCTAATTGAATCTGAAATATTTCGCTAACATAATTAGAATTTTCAAGTCATTGATTTATCCTATTTACCATACCATGTGAAAAATTATTTGATTGTTTACAATCATTTGAATCATTTGCTTTATCAGAATATAAGTATGTAATCAATAGTGACATAATAAATATATATGGGACCTTTGCAATAGAAAGAGAGAAAACTGTCAAAAAAATCAAAAATGAATTAATGCTAAATTTGAACATATTTCAGCCTAAAAGTCATATTTGACATATAAAAGTAAAATTAATTTTTTTTAGCAGTTTCCCCTCTTCTATTGCAAAGGTCCTATATGATCAGCAATTTATTTTTTCAGTATATATGACATCTGTATTACAAATAAGAATGCACTATTGTTTTTAGTCAGTGTGTGAAAACCTGTTTCCATTATATATATATTCAAATTATCTAAGCTCTGGATAAGTATTTCCTATAAGACATTATACGTTCCGATTAGTATACATAAAACTAAATAAAAAGTCACATAAAGGTATATACCTTAAATAGAAGGAACTTTAGCACAGATCAACATAATAATACTACATTGTTACAATTCGTTGGTAATTGGAACCGCTGAACCTCTCTATACACATCTAACCCTTTATATCAATGATGGTAAATTACAAGGTCATTTACTATTTTTTCAAATGTCCATGATCATTTTGACTTGAAATTTATAATTAAAGTGAGATCATTTGAGGTCATTTGAAATCATTTCAAGGTCATTTGCCAACACTGCTTTATATGGCACAGTCATCTCGTAAACAAATGCAGTATGATCTATAGCCATTTGAGTTAATAACAAAGCATGCATAGAAACACAATAAAAGAAATAAAAGACTACCATCTATATTGAAAATACTTACCGAAATTTGTAAACCATATAGCTTTAGTAAGCTTAAACTCTCCCCGATACATCCATATATTCGTATTATTCTATTCAACATTACTTTTAACATTTTCGCAATTTTAAGCTTATCTCCAAAAAAGTGTGGATGCTGGCGTTGGCTAGGCGGACAAATAACTTCTCCGATAGCAAATTCAAGTTTTGGCAATGTTGTCCAAACAATATCGATTTTTCGTCCACTACTGCGATCCTCATCATTTTTGGTTAGATCATAATCTTCTGCTGACGCAAATAAGGATATCTCGCCACTTAATAGATTAAATTTTTTTATTAAGGTATAATAAGTAATCTTAGAATGCATACTGTTTGTCACTTGCAAAAAAACCTTCATATGGGAACGTTTCCAGTAAAATCAAGTCATGAGGCATAGTAAATCATATGATCCGTAATGTGATTTTACTGGAAACGCTCCCATATCTTCCGTAATTTTTTGAAATAAGCTTTGCATGATTGGTGTGAAATAGATTTCACGGTACATTCTTTCGGATAAATTCTCATTAAGATCATTTCCGCGCTCAAAGGAATTAGCACTAATAAAAAAGAAATCAAAAGTTAGCTATAGAAAATATATTACATAGTCTAATGCAGTGATGTGCACTTGGAAGATTGGAAGCACCTTTGGAAGGTTTGGAAGCACAATTTATTAATAAAATTATTTGGATTGGAAGCTTCCAATCAAATTTTTTACCATTGGAAGCATAAAACGGCCATCACTGGTCTAATGCAAGTAGTAATTTACAGTTGGTATGCAAAATCCCATGTAAATTTTTTTCTATCGTCATCTCTCGTCGATAAAAAATTATTTTCTACGGCCTTTTGAAAATCAGGTTCCTGTAATGAAAAACGTGGCAATAAGACATTTCTGAAGTCTACCCAGGTCTACTCAATAATAATTTCTCAAACATGAAATACCTTGACTATTTTCACGATTAATTCTTTGATGTCACTATTGTCGATATCAGGTATTGGCGAATGTTCAATGCTTCCATTAATTATTGGTCCGCTTCAACTCGAGCTGAAATCTTTGCTATTCTCTCAGCTCTGGTTATCTCCCCTAAATACTTCATATTTCATCATTTCTTCGAATTCATCTTTTGATCGTTTTTTAACAAAATCACTGTTGGTACCGGGTGTAACATCAATTATATCGTAATATGCAAGGCTATTATTTCCAAATCATATAAGTCCATATATTACTTGCCCAAATACATCTCACAAAAAAATTAATAACTTACTCATTGTGTGGACGCTTTTTTTCATTCTGCCACAATGTCAGCAAATCACGCACATTGACCTTATTAGTACCAATAATCCACTCCCCATTACGCTGAAGAGTTGTTTCTTTTGCCTATTTATCCAGTTCATTATTATAATCTATCGCTGTATCATCTGTCATTGTATCTATTGTGTCGCTTTTAAAAGTACTGTCAACTACACATGATGGTTGAGATGGTGGAGATGTATTCCCTCCTTGATGATATCCTTTCAACATTCGTTCTTCCTCATCAATCTACGCATACATCAAAAGGTCCGTGGGTCAATTTGTATACACGTTTTCGTGCTAAAAATAAAATAGAATAAATATAAATACCTCGATTGGATCTTCTTGTCCACGTTGACGTTTGTAAAAACGATCATAATCATCTTCTGCTTCTAAGGGTCTCGTAGTCTTCTCTCGTACATAATACTGCCCAGGAAATTGAGGAGAAGGAGAGGATGGTAATTCATTTGATTTCAACTTTGCCTTTTTGGGCTATGACAATATAAGAAAAACATTAATTAATTTTAATTTATGCTATATAAATTCAGAGCTTCAACGATAGTAAATTAATATCATTATTTTACTTTTTTACGTCCTACTGGACTAAAATCAAGTTCATCACCCTCCTCTGATCCTCCACTAAAAATACATGCAAAAGAATTTAATATCAAATTTGCAAATTATAAAAAGTAATATATAAAGTAAGCCCTACGAATGAATATATTCGGACGAGGAATCTAATAGTATAGCCTGTTCATCTGATCTTTCACTAACAATTGGACTACATTCAATTTCCTTGAGCAGTCCATTTACTGAAGTGCCGCCATTGTTAAGGTCCCCGAAATTGTTGAATCAATTGATGAATTTTGAATATTGATCGAGGGTACATTGTTCAATTTCAATTTACGCTCTTCCTCCCAGCCTTTAGCAATATGTTGATCTGGTCGATTTCCCTTGAAAAAAACACAATCAGGAAACTAATGTAATAATTTCAGCTAGAAAGCACCGATTTTCCATTTGATAACTCATCCCATTGGTTTCGACCCAAAGACTTTTAACATCAGGCAAGCCCAAAGATTGCCTGTGCCCCAATGGGACTAATGCCAGGTCGACCCAAAGACTTGAACATCAGGCAAGCCCAAAGATTGCCTGTGCCCTAGCATTGGTTTTGTGACTCGACCCAAAGACTTGAATGGCAAAGAAGCCCAAAGATTCCCGCCACGTCACTTATTCATCTACATTTTCAATAGAAAAAATAAAAAGGATTTATTTACCATAGTATATTTATCATGAAGAAGGCGCGCCTTTTCTGCTCTCTTTCCTTGTCCAGAGTCACAAATGTTTTCAAGGCTCCTTAGATACGACTCAATTTTTAGTTGGAATGGCACTTCCTCACTTTTGTCCAAAACCCTGTAATACACCAACCACTATACTTTTGATTAAAATATTTATGTATTGTAGTAGTAAAACGAAATAGTTTTGGCAGACTATATATGTTGTTTGATCGTCATAAGTCACGCCATTACGTGTTACGTCACAATTTTCATGTCAGGTTTTGTCGATCTTATACATATTAGGGGGCGGTTAAAGCCGTGTTCGATCTCGTGACTAATTGATCGGCAGAGTCACGTCGGAAGATCGGCCGTGATACGAATAAGTCACGTGAATAAAAAATAAAATACTTGCAGTTTATTTTTTTCAAGCCACCATAATGATTTAAAGAGCAAGATGAAAAGTCTAAATCAAAACAAGGAAGGTTGAAGTTCTAGAAGTATATTTGAATATTAACCATTTATTAAAGGTTATTTATTGTCTACGTTTGAACATTAATTCAATCGCCAAAGATTTAGTTTTTAATCTTGCGGAGTTTATTAAATGTAACGAATGGCTTCTATTATGTGGAAGAAAGAAATTTTTTATTTGAAGTATTTTTAGTATTTTTTGTAATGTCTGTTAGTAATTATAATATTTCTTTCTTTTAGTAAATATAATAATATACAGTCATACCTCTCTATAGCGAATTTTTATATAACGAATTTTTTGGACAACTATATTAAATTTACCCTCGTTATAACGAACTAGCCAATCAAATTCTTTAAAAAATTCACTATAGCTCTATAGCGAAGTTGAAGTTCAGGACATAAAATTCGTTATATCAAGGGTTGACTGTAGTAAAAATTTTTGGGAAATCTCTCCGGTGGGTTTTTTTTAAAAAAATTTCATTTTCTTCGGAGGTTGTTTTTCTTCAAAGTTTTTTTCTTTAAAGCTTTTTTTTTCTTTGGAGTTTTTTCCCTACAAATTACACTCGTAATTAGTTTAACACAAAATAACTTGTATTTACAAAATACCACTCTAGATTAGTATTCACAAATAACATCAGACTTTTCTATTAATTTCAAAGTTTTTTTTTTTTAACCTTTGGATTTTTTTTTCCTTTACAAAATAATTCCCTATATTAGTATTAGCACAAATCAATAACCCCATTTACTTCTAACACAATAAACTTACCTATATCCGAAGCCTTAACTCCTAACCAAAGACATATGCGTCTTTTCAATATTAATAATCTATTTGAGGTTTCAATGGAAGAGGTTGATAAGGAGTGGTATCAAACATATGGACTGGATATAGCTACAAAAATCATGTTAATGGTGATTCATGCAAAGTGTTTGTTTGTCACTTTAATAAACATAATAAATCAAGTACCCAGAAGAAAGGTATTCCTCACAATGAACGCTGCATAACGAAAATTTGATCAGCCAATTTGTTATGCAAAAATCAAGTTAATGTTATGCTTCAGAAAAGAAAGTACGAATCAATCGATTTAAAGACTCGCCCGATCATTCACATTCTCTAGAGGAAAGTGAAAAAATCAAGATTTCAAATATTATTCGGGATTTAGTTATACAAGAGGCCTCAAAGAATCATCGACTACCAGAAATCTTAAGAATACGCAACTGAAAATCAGAATTGAGACGGAGGGAGGTTGCGAATTTAAGATATAAAATTCGTGGGTCTCTTGATATACATCTTATTGGTAATCCCAAATGAGAATTAGATATTGGGATGCCATTTCCTTTTTGAAAAAACAAGGATACTTAGTTGTATTTTATGAAGTTTCCTACCTATCTACCTATGGTTTCGTTTTTATACATCCAAATCAGGGGCTTGTCTGATGTTAAAAGTCTTTGGGTCGAAACTAATGGAATGAGTAATCAAATGGAAAATTGGTGCTTGCTAGCTGAAATTATTATATTAGTTTCCTGATTGTGTTTTTTTCAAGGAACTCAACCAGATTAACAAATTGCTAAAGGCTGGGGGAAGAGCGTAAATTGAACAATGTACCCTCGATCAATATTTAAAATTCATCAATTTCGGGAAACGCTGGGATCTTTAACAATAGCGGCACTTCAGTAAATAGACTGCCCAAGGAAATTGAATGTAGTCCAATTGTTAGTGAAAGATCAGACGAACAGGCTATACTATTAGATTCCTCGTCCGAATATATTCCTTCGTAAGGCTTACTTTATTATTAATTTTTATAATTTGCAAATTTGATATTAAATTCTTTCTTTTGCATGTATTTTTAGTGGAGGATGATGAACTTGATTTTAGTCCAGTAGGATGTAAAAAAGTAAAATAATAATGTTAATTTTCTATCGTTGAAGCTCTGAATTTATATAGCATAAATTAAAACCAATTAATGTTTTTCTTACTGACTAAATAACAGGTGATCTAATGTGCGATACAACCTGTGATTGTATATTACATAGCTAGTCTATTTAAATACTCGCGTTCTTATGTTGAATATGATTTTTACTTTTACGTTTTTTACGTTTTCGATAGCGGAAAAATGCGTTAAAAATTACAATAGATATCTTACTGTGTTTATTTCAAAGAAACGACCCCTGATAAATATCGCTTCTTGGATTTTTACCAATACCACAGTAAACAAGAAGATTTTACCTTCTCCTTTCAAAAGGAAGCTGACAAACTTCTGAAGAATTTAGACCTTATATTAGAAATTGGCTCGGAAGAGATCAAGAAAGGTGCTATCAGGATGAAGCTAAATTTCGAGGTAATTTTTATTACTTTTGTTGAAAAGGCAGTATGGGAGACTTCCAGTAGTCCTGAGAAGGGGTAAAACTCACACAACTACGGTGGGCATCTGTTTGTTGCCCGCTTTATGGTCTGCTTGTCCGTTGTGGTCTGCTATGCAGTATGGGAGACTTCCAGTAGTCCTGAGAAAGGGTAAAACTCACACAACTACGGTGGGCATCTGCTCATTGCCCGCTTTATAGTCTGCTCGTCCATTGTAATCTGCTTGATTCGTTATGTTTATCCTGCATAAACATAATTGTCATATTAATCATACAATCAATTTTATTAGAGTTATCGCGAGAATTATAAAGATGTTAGAGCATTTTGGAGTAAACTTGAAAATGATCTTGCCGATTTAGCAATCGAATCTAAAAGACAAGAATTACGTTTAGCTGAGGTTAGTTTTCTAAATGTTATTTCAGCTTGAACTTCTATATTAACTTTGATTTCTGATTTCATAGATAGGTGCTGCCTGTTTCGTGATGAAAAATACTACAACTGTTCTTCAAACTGCTATTGGTAGGGTTGACACAACACTGGTAAGGACCCTAATCTTGATTGTCCGATATAGATAATGATTGAGTTTAACTCTTTTCTTTTTGTAGTCCGATGCCACATATTATACGATGACACCTGTGCCGGTGCGTCATAATTTACCAACGGAATTACTGAAAGAGAAAGTGATCTATGAAACTCCCGTATATAGGCAATTTGAATCAAGTCCCTTCATTTCCTATTCACAAGGTAGAAAACATGAGCGTGAGCCTGAAGAGGAAGATGATACTGAAGAAGAATACAATGCGGACGAAACCATTATTGAAATCGGAAATGTTTCTTGGATTGTTAATAGACACGATATTCGAAAAAAGTTAACAGAATATCAACTGGAAAGAAATCCGCCGAAATCAAAACCTGAGTATTATGACGTAATTTTCTTCAATGCTAAAGACAAAAATGGTTTTCTAGAGACACTAGAAAAAGATACGGTTCAACAAATGCTTAAGCGAGGAAGAAAAAGAAATGCAAAATGAACAGGAGATCAAATCGTTATTAAGTAAAATTATAGTGCGTGATATTAACAAGACTAAAAATGCACTTCAATCATATAAAAATTACAATAATTCTTTTGAAAGAGTTTTCACACTGAATTTCATAGACCACATGTGAGCCTTTATTTATTTACATTTGTTTCTAATTCTAATGAAATAAAACTAACTATTATTATTTTACAGGATAAAATTGATTGAAGGGACAAATTTGCTTTTAGAACCGATATCTGAGGAAACCTACATTGTTAGTGTTCTAGGTCCAATTTTGGATCAAATTTTTATAAAACATAAAGGGGATTGGCGTACAAAATATGGGGAGACTTGCCTTAAGGCAAGCGCTAAAGAATGTAATGCTCAAAAGGAGGATGATAACCGCAGATCTCCCAGAAAAAAAATAGATGCAATCATTATTCTGAAAGAGAAAGATGAAGAATTTTCTGTCATCGAAGTCAGTGGGCCTCCGTTAAAATCCGATTGGACTTATTTCAAAGGAAATCGAATGAAGATCGTAAAAATGCTGAAGACATTAATGAATCGACTGGTAAAACTTCGCCCGAATTTAAATATTAGAATGCTTAAACTTTACGCCATGCAATCGTATTGTGAGTCCTTATTTGTGTTTGATTGCCATCTATTTTTACATTATTAATCCTTTAACTCTCGACATTTACAGTAAATCAGTTGACTATCTATGAATTCCGTCTCAAATATGCTGAAGTGTACACAATGGTGAAAGTATTGAAAATTTCCTTTTCGAAATCATGGAAAGATATGAAAGAGTCATATGAAATAGTGACGGGTCTTTTAAAATACGAGGTTTGTATAAATGATTAAAAAAGCATATATAAGTGTGAAACTGACATTTCCATAATTAGCGTTTATTATCCGGAAGTTCAGAATAGAGGTTGGAACCGGTTTGGCGTAAATCGATTTAAATTCGGTTTAAACCGGTTGCAACATAAAACCGGGTCTAGC